AAGTTTCTAAGTTAAAAATAATTCTTGTACATCTACTTCCAACTCGTAAGGTAATACTACCTGTAATTATCAAGTGATTTGAACCATTGAACTGAAAATTATCCATTACGAAAACTATTTTTTAAAAAGAAAAAAAATGTGTGGTTAAAAATTTTCATTCGATTGAAACGTAAAAAAATGATTTTGTGAAGAAATGTTACAAAGTCTTAAGACCATATAAAACATTAAGAACTCTTTTAAATTGTCATATTTGTTTCATCAAACGTTTGTTGAGGTAAAATAGAATTAATATTTGTCTGAAACTCTTAGATATTGAGCATTGTTTTTATACGAATGAGTTATTGATGTTAACAGTTCAGATAAAAACATTAAATGCAAACGTATACTTAATTGTTATTGTATGTAAAGAAGTTGTATGCCACTTTATATGTAAATACATGTAGTAATTTGAAGCACAGTAGTTCATTGAAACACCGTATCCAGATCTGTAGCATCTTTGAACATTTGTGAGCTTTGTGTTGTGTCTCATTATTTTTCATTTTTTTTTTAAAACAAAACATCAAGTAATGCTGTTCTTAGAAAAGTAAAATACATAGGTTTATTCTTTTTTATGTTACAGAGAAAGGAACTCATTGTTGATGTTGTTTTTCAAAGCTTAAGCAGTTACATCTTTTCAAACATTTTTTGTGTGTTTTGTAAGTCAAATTATGTTCAACATGCTGTTTGTCTGCAAGCTACAGGTATTCAGAATTGAATTTGGATTGAATTAATGATATAATAAACGAAACCAAAAGTAAATCTGAATTCCAAATATTTTATATTGTACAGTCTTATTGTAAAAATAGCATATCATATGATAAAAAGTTTGCTATTTTATGTGGTAAATATCAATACAAGGACGATGTTTCTAAAATTTTGTTTTCGTTTTGTTTACCTCAATGTGATACATTTACAAAATCAGTAACATCTTATTTTTTTTTGTTCATTTGCAAGGCTCACTATTTCATGTAAATGGTGATAAGATAATGAAGCCCGAGATCTATTTCAACCTTAAATTGCCTGTTCGTGGCTATTCACACTTCGCCGCATTGTTTGGATTTCTATTATTGACTTTTAAGACTAAATTTACTGTTTTGATCCTGATCACATTCCATGCTCTGTGGTGCCTAAATAAATGTGGATTCAGACTATTCGTTAAAGAATTCAATTTCTAGTTACCTCTAAATTTAATATAATTTCAGTATAAAACAGTTCAAAAGTCGTTATTTCACACTGTTGTAACTCCTAAATGTAATGATATTTTAGAGTCACATTGCTGTAACTGAATACAGCATTCTGGTTCTTGTATTTTTGTCAATAAAATTTATTTTTCAGTGATTTTTCATTTTTTTATTTTGATTTTCAAAAAAACTATCTACAGGAACTTCTTCGTAATTAAAAGTGTAAAAGTTAAAATAATTCTGCATACTATGATATATTTTATATTAAAATTGGTTGAGTTAGTGTGAAGATATAGCCTGTTAAAACTTTGAAGTCGATTTTCTCAAAATGGTAAAATACGACTTACATCATTATGGAATTAGGGTGACGACTTGTAATTATTTTATAGAGGGGAATTTAAGGTCAATTTCTTTCCCTATAACATTAGTCAAACCAGTAATATGCTGTCTTGATGACTGCTCTACTTCAAATATCTCCAATAACAGTTTCTAAACAGAAAGTGGGACAAGTAAGTTTCTAAAATTCATAAGGTCACCGTGAAGGGTTATATCTTAAATAAAGATATGTAATTTACCTTATCCTACAATGTCTTAACCTCGTTTTAATGATGTCTCCACCAAATACGTTATACACCGTAATTCTTCATCTATTACACCAATCAATCTGTCATGATATCTGATTTTGTTAAATAACTTTACAATTCAATAAATGTTTACTTTACTATACGTCCCATAATTCCCTCCTATCAATTGACTTCTTGTTTCGTTTTCCATAAAGGTAAACTTTACACTGGTGTAGACTCGGCGCAGCCATCGTGCTATAGTCATACGCTTTATTTAAAACAGTTCGCTTTTAGTTAAACATCAAAAGTTTTTTTTATCAGATTCAGTATACTACATGTACATATAATAATCATAATAATCACAATAAACACTTTATTTCAAGAAGGTAACATATTAAGAAATATATACCTTACTTTAATTAAGCAAGCATTAAAGTAACCTTCATATATGCACACACATATAAAAACATTAAACAACAAACATTTAAATCGACAGACACATGCATTCACGAGATTCGTGAAACATATATGATATATAAATGTATATCAAGGAACTAATCTTTTTCATATTTCTTTTGAAACATATAGAGACAAAGAAACTTTAATATATACATGTAAATTATTCCACATTTGCATAACTTTAAGTTTTTTTAACATATTTTGTATTAGGACTAGCATGTATTATGTTTCTATCAGCAGCTGATCTCAGCGTATATGTTATATTTTTCGAGAACAATAGGATATTTAAGAATATGAATATTTGGAAGGAGTCAATCTTTGTATATTTTAGAAACAGGTGCGTATACAGGATTTTTGAAACATGAGTCGCAAAATTTCGATAAAGTATTTTGCAGAGGGTCATTGACTTTGGTTTTCATATTTACACTTTTATTGATTTCCAAATTTCACAAGTGTTTCCTGTATACAAGTTCAATCCTGTGGGAGAGGTCATGCTTAATCCGTCCCCCCTCCCCCGTTCATTCATTTTTTCAATCGTTGTCTTTTGTTTATATGTATCATACTCGTATGTTTGTTATCAGTTCAAACTGAAAGTTAATTAAAAAAAAAATAACAAGAATAAGGATCAACAAGGCAAAGGCAACGTTCACAGGACGCCGCCCCCGGACACACCCAAGCAGGACACCCAGAAGGCACCAAACAAGTACCTGGAGTGGACACAAGGGCGAAAGGAGTGGGACATGTTATGTGAAATAATATAAATAAAAACAGGCCCATAAGGGAATTAAAGGGAAAAGGGCTGTACGGGTGAAAAGGTGGGGGGCGGGAGGTTAAAAATGGAGGAGGGGGGGGGAGAAAATACCTACCGTCAACGACAATCCAACAAGACAGACATCACAAAACATGTAAACATCCAAAAAACAAGTAACAATACAGACAAGAAAAACATGTGAAGGAACACAAAGGGGTACCGCCTTGGAACGGTCAGTGGTAGTTAAACCACTGGGGAGTTTAAACCGGTTTTAGGCGCGCCAAACCTCACTCTTAGCCCCAATATGTTCCTGAATGACACGAAAATGTATATAAAATTAATCCCCGCCAATTATTTCAGTGGGTATTCTAAAGGGGTCCGAATAATTTCTTTCACAGAAAGATCGCCATCAAGTGTGCAGGCGATGCACACGTGTATAGTGAGTACAACTTCCTTTAAATCATATATATAAATTTCTTTTCCACATCGTAAAAGAGGCTGACTTTGCTACTGGGGTTTACAGTGAGAGGAAATATAAATAATTTCAACCCTTTATAAAAATATTTTAAAAATTCAGTGTCTTATTTATAAGGAAGTCATCTTCCTGCTTTTGCAAAATGGTACAAGTTTCTCTATATATAGACACTAAATATTTACGTCGTATAAATCATGGTTTAGTGTATCTTGATGTTTGTTACCCGAAAAAGATAGCTCTAATGCAAAATTTTGATCCATAAAAAAAAACCAACAACAACTACATTTGTAGTTTTTATCTTTGTAAGTAACTCTCGATATCTAAAGACATAACGGTAGTTGAAACTAGATTGATAGTATTTATAGTGTTCACCCACTACTGTCACTAGTTCGTCGATACAAGTGCATATTCAAATGAAATACACGTCCATTTATGCCAGGAATAATTTTTAGGATAGTGTTTGGAAAAAATCCGTGCTTTCGTGAAATAACATGATTGATATCGGGCAAACGTAAAGACATTCAGATTTCAAAACGACAGCTTTTTCCAAGATGGCATCCAAAAAGGCATTTACTGATCGAGTGACCATGGTCATTCTGTGTAAATATTAACTGGTTGAGCTTTTTTCTAAAATTTCATTCATGTTTGACTTTGTTGTAAATAATGCTTCCGAAGGATCACCCTTTTTTCCAGATTTTTTTATATTTAACTTAATCAGGTATCAAGTGCTGTGTGGCAGCTGTAAAAAGTTGCCCCGTAATTTACTTCAGTGTTCTCATATTTTTCTGGTCCTTCGGGATCATTGATCTTAGTAGATAAGTGTTGAAAATAAAATACCCCTCAAGTTAATGTTACAGGGCGTGAGTTATGTTGCACTTTTTATTATCTCTCAAGTACATACTCAATCACACCGAGACTGCTATTTTTTGATTAATAGTTCCGATGCATAACCTTTTCCCAGATTTTGTTTACGTTTCCTTGAGCGATCTCATGTTGTCCAAATATCTAGAAAATCGAAATTTGTGAAATAAGTTTGGAATGTTTACAGCAGTATCTCATGTAACTTTACCGTGATGAATTTTACTCCTAACGTACTTGTTACAAGTCATTAAATATAAATTGAATTGTTTGAAAATAAGACGCAATGAGATTACTTAATGCATTTTATTACATTGCCATCAATTTTTAATTGATGGGACCATACACCGCTTTCCATGGAATGGCAGAATCGCACTACCGTGTCACATTGATAACCGCCGTATCTACGGATGTTTTCACCATTTTCTTGTTTTAATCTTGTATTCTGCTTAATTTTCATACAACGCGATGAAATAACATGTTTATGTATTTATAGACAAAAAATGAATATCCTCTACTTATTGAACAAAAGGCCTGTGGACACACTGTCAATCTACCATGCTTTTTATATAAATGTATGTAAAGAAACACACGGTCCATGTCGTCATAACCTATACATAAATAACATAAAATGGACTACAAAACCAACATATTGACAGCATAACCAAGCTGTACAATTTTATTGATTGAATATCAGTAATTTAACACATTTAGTATCGAGTTATCATCATACATTAACAGGAAAAGTATATGTATATAAAGGTTGACCGTTGAATATTATATGTTTGATCATAATACTGTAACTCATACTCTCCGAATGTTGCATTTAAAATGTATGTGTAACATAACAACAAGACACATACTATAATTTACAATGTCAAATATTATAAACAATGATTTTGTCAGGATAGCATGCAACAACTAAACAGTTTCTCTTGTCATCGAACAATAATGATAATGGATTAATGAGCCCGGAATCTTTAGTAACTAATTCTCCAAGGCATTTTCCTTCGCTATTAAACATCATGATGTTGTGTGAGCTGTACCCAGAAATAAACACAGTCCCATCATTGGATACACATACGCCACGTGTGTCAGCAAGCCTTTTATCTCTCAGTTCACTTTTTATAGTACCATCTCTGTTCAGACAGACAGCTCCATCACTGTTATCTGTTACTAAAACATTTTCTCCGCTGACGGTCATTTGATCTATAGATGTAAATATGTGTTGTCCATTGACATCACTACCGATAGAATTTAAAATTGTACCAGCCATACTGTATATATTTACAGTCTTAGCAGATATCCATAACTCTCCAGCACAATATGTCATTCCCCAGTAACCTTCATCTGCAACAGATATATCTCTCACTTTAGATAATGAGCTCCTTACTGATATAAAGCTAACTTTGCTGTTGTACAATTTCACAGCTATCTCAGTATTACCAGTACAAGAGATACCTCTAGGCCTTGTTTCTAGATCCAAACAATCTTTGATGTTATAATTCACATCAAGCCTCTTTATCCTCTTATTATTGTTATCAGCCAATATGATTGTACCGTCTGGAAGCTGACATATATCACAAATGAAGGGGTTGGCCTTGTCGTTTTTCATGCGGATATTTTCCTCCTTTTGTGAACGTACTTTATACGTCCTTGATTTCGGCAGTCTTTTGCTTTCTGTTATCTTTTGTACAGACCCTAAATATGTTGATGAACTGACTGAGGACTTTAATTCTGTATTTTCTTTCAAATACAATGATTGACTGCCTTTAGCTTCATTTTTTTCAAATACTTTCACTGCATCATTTACATTTTGTTGTGTCAGTTTTGTCTTAACAAACTGTTGTATTTTATCCAGACTGTCCACGTCTTGTAGCTGACTTCTCACCTGTTCAATCTCTTCTATAGCTTTACTTAACTTAGACACATTTTTCTCTAGTTCTCCTTTGACCAAAAAATATTCCGCATCGAGGCCTTCCAAAGCTTCACGCTCCAACTTCTGGATATGTTCTACCAAACCTCGCGCAAGTCCTTCTATTTGCAAAATGACGTCATTTCTTTGTTCCTCAATGCTTTTCAGATTTGTTTTCGTTTTCTTGTCAGTATTTTCTAAACGTTCTCGGATGTTCATAATGTCAGCCTTTAAACGTTCTGTTTCTCTTTTCTGATCAGCAGAAACTGATAAGTCGTCTAAACCTGTCACTCCCTTACAGGACCTGGAAACAATAAAGTTTAACTTTCAGATAAAGTGATTATATAATAAGACCATTTCAGTATCCCTATTATTTTTATGATCATTCTACTTTAATTATCATCTACATACATTTATAGAGGTGATCTTGTTGTGTTACAATGTCCAATTACTAGTATCATGCTCATCACTACAATTATCTTGAAAGATGTTATCGCATAAACAGTTTAGATAACTTAGGACATATTTAATAATCTTATCTTTTTTAATGTTTCAAGATAATTAAAAGACACTTTCTTTCAAGTTAATTATTGTAAAAAAATACTGATTTACAACACATATATCTTTCCCTCCGAAATTTACTGTTTTCGATTCCAGTCCTTTTTATGTCACCCGTTTTCCAGAATATATTTTTTTTCATTTATTTCATATTTCAAAAAACATATAAGTACTATCATTCACATTTACATACAACATTTGTAACTAAATATAAAACATATCCATCTCATTTAATACACATTCATTAACCAAACATTCATGAGGTTGATACGACAGAAACTCCACAAAGAAAAAAAAATGAAAAAACAAACTTTCAAAAAATAAAGAAAGAAAAAGAATAAATCTACTTAAAAAACTATCATTCTTACACTAAACAAAATCACACGCACACACACACACACACACACACACACACACACACACACACACAAAAGAAAGGGGGAAAAAGAGACTAGTGAATCAGTTTCATTAAATTTTATACGTTTTATGGTTTAATTTACATAATATTATTGTTTTGGTCTTAAGTATTGTTTGTTAAAGTGTTAGAAAGTTTACTCCATTTTTTGTTTGTACGATTTAATTTTATCATTTGACAATGCAATTGCTTCTTCAATCTGTATCCTTAACAGCAAAAAGTTTTTAAAAATATCAAAAGCGGGCTTACTTCTTTGATATTTCATTTTTAAAATGTAATATTTCATTAGAATAATGATATAATTTACTACATTACTATTTATGTCAACATTTCAATTTGTTGTATCTTTGCCTGAAGAAGTTTTCTCTGTTTGATAATTTTCAAGAATAACAACTACACTTTGAAATTGAAATGGCCATTAAATAATAAATGACGGAAAAACATATAATACAATGTTGATATGAAAGTTATCAAACTAACATAAAAATTGTGAAATGGCCATTTAATAATAAATGACATATAAACATATAAAACAATGCTGATATGAAAGTTATAATATAACATAAAATTGTATACAAAGCAAGCAAACATTTCTGAAAAAGGTATATAAAATTATATACACACATATCCCGAAAAATTATCAAAGGTTGGGTTCTAAGAATTTTGCCACAAATTGTGTAAAACACAATTCCCCCAAAGCGGGCTTACTTCTTTGATATTTCATTTTTAAAATGTAATATTTCATTAGAATAATGATATAATTTACTACATTACTATTTATATTGGTTGTAAGCTCTCCAAAAAAACACTGTTTCGTTACTGTATGAAAAATGAAGATTAACGGACAAGAGAAAAGAATGCAAGTTTGACCATAAATTTTGCACAATATTACATTCCCAAAATAGATGATGAAGTGTTTCTAAACTACTGCAGCAAAAATCACACAAATTTGAATTGCATAGATTATATTTGAAAAGCATAGTGTTTGTTGCAGTAAGTCTATGGATAAACTTATACTGAAAATTTCTTAATGTCACATCTATAGTACATTGTAGTGGTATAGTATATATCTTATTCCATTTCAATTCTATATCTATTTCTTTTTCCCATTGCTCTTCATTTTTATTTTTTACCTTCTCATCATTTTCAATTATATAAAAGTTTATTTATTGTTTTGGATTTTTGAATTTTATTGAGAAGCGTATCTTGTACTTCCATATATGTTGTGTTATGTTTTAGTTTCTCAAGGTATTGTTTTGATATATTGTTTATTAGCATAAAGTATCTTAAATAATCAGCATTTTCTATTCCGTAAATGTTTTTAAAATCAACATTTTTATAAAAGGCTTTTCTCCTATAATCATAAAGATGTTCTACATAAAGTATGCCTTTATCATGCCATGTTTTATAATAAACCAGTTTGTTGTCAATTTTAATGCTAGAATTATTCCATACAATGTCTTTAACATTATCTTTGTTTTTATTATTCTCATGCTGAATGTGAAACCAAGACGAAAGAACATCATTCATGAACGAATTATGTGGATATAAATTATTGATATCATTTTTTGAAAGATGACATTGGAAGATAAAATCTTTGTTTATATACCTTTTTACCTAGCTTGCTTTTACTGCATTAAGATAATATGTAATGTCTATCATTTTTAGTCCACCATTTTTTATATTAAGTTTTAAAGTTTTGCGTTTTATTTTTTCTGGTTTTCCTGCCCATAGGAAGTGAAACATCGCTTTAGTTATTTTTTCATCTTATCATTGGATGGGTTTGCTAAAACTGAAAAAGGATATATTAATTTTGGCAATGCAAAAGTTTTTATCACTATTACTTTTCCCATTAACGTAAGCTTTCTGTGTTGCCACTGCTTTAAGCAATTGAAAAAATCTTGAAGTTTAGGTTCTAAATTCATGTTTGTATTATTCTTGTAATCTGACGAAAATAAAAAGCCTAATGTTTTGCTGAATCAGATGTCCACTTAAATGATATATTTTTACAATATTCTATTAGTATCTTTGAATGACCCGGTTCGTAATATTGTTGATTTCTTTGAATTAAGGTTTAAACCGGAAATTTTACTAAATCCTGTTATCACATAGACAAGTTTTTCGAAAGACTTAACTGAACCATCGTTTACGAAAGTTGCATCATCTGCAAAGAAGGATTGTTTTATAAATCTTTGTCCTCAACTTTTATTCCTTTTATTTCACTATCTTTTTCTATGTAATTGGATAAAATTTCTAAACATACGATGAATAATGATGTTGATAAAGGACATCCTTGTCGAACACCCCTTTCTTTGGTAAAAGGTTCTGAGAAATGACCATTATTAACAATAATACTTGAAATATCAGTGTAAAAAAGTTTGACCCATTGTTTAAAATCTTTACTAAAATTGAACTTTTGAAGAGTATGAAAGATGAACTGATGATTTAAACTATCAAATGCTTTTTCATAATCGGCAAAGAATAATAAACCTGGTTTGTTTTCTTTTTGAAGATATTCAATTATTTCAAAAATCATCCTTACGTTTTCACCAATGTAACGGTTTTTCATGAAACCTGTTTGATTGAAACTAATTATAGTTGGCAAAACTTTTTTGATGCGATTAGAAACAGTTTTTGTTGCTAATTTATAATCCACGTTAAGTAAACTTATTGGTCTCCAGTTTGATATATCTGTAAGATCTTTTTCTGGCTTTGGTATAAGGGTTATACTTCCTTGTCTTTGAAGAGTTTGACATTTGAAAAGAGTAATTAATCGAATCAAGAAAATATTTTGTGATGCTATTCCAAAATGTCTTATAAAACTTGACGGTTAAGCCATCAGATCCTGGACTTTTACTACATACTCACATTGTCTCAATTATATCAATGTTATTATTACCAAAAAGATTTATTACAAATTATACAGGTAATTTTTGAAAAGAGTAACTGTAAAGATACTTAACACTGAGAAATAAATCTAAAATAAATACAAACCTATGGTGTGTAGCAATACACTTTAAACAATAAACCATGTCATGTTCCTCACAATACATCTCTATCTCACGATCTGGGTGATATAAACATTTTGCTTGCACGGCAAAATGCGGCCCTTGTTTTGCTTCGTTCTTGTCTACAAGCTTATGAGAACGACTCATCCTCTGTCTTCCATGGTGTCGAGTGCATCCTGTACACAAAAACTCCTGGCATTCAGGACAATATTTCACAGCTTGTTCTCGAATATCATCCTCAAAACAAGGGGTACAAACAATGTCAATGTCAGTTAAAGTTGAACGACCGTCTACTTCAGCCATCGTACCAGCTGCTATAAAATAACATTTATACGTTTAAATAATCATTAAATTTTACGTTTAACCACTTGCAATTATTATATGAAATTGTAACATATTACTAGTATTTAGGTGTTATTTTTTAAGTAAAAAAGCATAGTTAAATATAGAAATATTTAAAAAAAATACAACTTAAATTATGAAATGACTGTCCTATTGCATGAACGTTACTGATACAATTAAAACTACATTTATAACAATTTCCTATTGTTGCGTTGATTATTGATTATTTTTAACACATTTTTTGGAAATGACAATTTACCTTGATTTTTAACCTATTTACTGACCCTATAGGCTTTGATGGACACAATGTAACTTAATATATCTTTTTTTGTACGGATAATCAGCGATCCAATTTAAATTCATCTGTGATATTTAAATGTTATATTTTTCGGGGAGCAAAGTGTAACACAGGGAATATTGAAACACTCTCTGTAACTTATTAAGTACGTTGCCCGTGACGCAATAACTTTTTCGAAAATTTGAAAATATATGTTTGCGTCAATTCGACCCCGAAAATTAGCGTGTTTTCGCTCAGCTCCTCCGCAATTTTAACTTGTTAATTTGACTTTTCGCTTGGCGGGGTCACAGGGTGAAAAAACGCTAATTGGCTTTGGCGTGGAGCAAAAAAAGATTTTAACTACTAAAACGGTGATTGCGCGGAGCGAAAACTAGTGAAAAGTCGAACTTTTTAATAGTATGGCGTGGCGCGAACAGCACGCAAATCAGCGCCCTATATCAATAAATATTTCTCTTTGCAGCCCGCCCCTCCGTATTACAAATTAATCTCGAGTTTTCGCCCTGCATCCCGCTCATTAGTGTGTTTTCAACACTCACGTGTTAATTCTCGACTTTTCGCTGGGCGGGGCGAAGACACAAAATGGCACAAATCAGCCACCATACTGTACAACTATTTTATCAATGAAATTGCTGTATTAGGTTACTCGTGCTTCTATCATGTAAGATCCTCTGGGCAAAATAACATTTGATTTATTTGATGGGATTGGATACAATATTTTAAACACAAGCAAATAATTGACTCTTGGCAAACAGTCGGTAGAAAATTGTTACTCTGAAAATATCATTTTGAAATCTTACAGTATCTACACGATTGACGAAGCTATACAAGATGTTACATTTAAGGGGAAAACTGCCTAGCGTATGACAGTATATATAATAAGAGTAATGGGATATGGGTCACATGATCCTATTAACGTGTTAAGAAGGATGTTAAAGTATTAGAATTTTAAACGACGTGTGGATATTTATGCTCAATAGTAAATTATGGAATTGGGTACATTCCAAAAAATAGATTGAATGCCATCATCGATCAGTTTAGAGTTTGTCTTTATTATAGGTGCTGTCTAGCTTTGCCCCTACTCACTTATTGTTTTAAAGTGAAACTCTCTACTAATATTTTGTAGACTACAATCTAAACTACTTTTTAAAATGTTTAATATACTCAGAGAGAAATTTAAGAAAAGACATAAAATTGTGTGACAGTAAGAAAAATAGAAAAGTAGCCGGTCATATTGAAAATAATATCAATCATCGGTAAAGGGTTTCACAAGTCTCCCTTGTGTTTTAAAATGATTTCATTTATATTGATATTTTTGGGGTTGTAAAATGTTGGGGTGGGGTGGGGGAGAATGTTGGTGGGTAACTTGTTAATGGCCTGGCTACCCACCGTTCACATGTGACAAATTCTAAACAAGTATGTCTTCAATAATTCTTCAGCATGTCTGGTGAATGGGGGGGGGGGGGCTTACACCCACTTTGTTTACATAATGACGTAATCATGTGCACACTTGAACAATATAATGGGTGACACATGTGTGTCACTCAAAACAATAGAATGGGTGACACACATTTGTGTCACGAATAACAATAGAAAGCTTAGCACACAAATGTTTTAATCCCGCCAAAATAAAATGGATGCCTTATTAGATTGAAATAAAATAATGGCGCACTGTTTCTCCATAACAAAAGAAAACGAAACATATTTATAGGGGTCACATAAATATGTTCTAAAGTACACAATAGAAAAATGTTACCATAAAGGATTAACTAATTCGGTCAAAATATACAAAGGAAAACTATAATCAAATTATTGGTTTAAAGTATGAAAAGAAAATTAGGACAAAATATTATTAATAAGTCTAGACCAGCTGTGGTCAACTCATCTAATAAGCTACTTTAGTATCTAGTATTTCTTCTTCTTGATATTGTATTTTACTATCATCAGAAAAATGTAAAGTTTAATCAATTGTTTACATAATGACTTAAGAGTGTGTACTTTATAACAATAGAACAGGTAACACTCCAAAAAGAGCAAATGAGCAACCAAAATGAGCATATGAGCAACTAAAATGAGCGACTGAGCAAGGAAAAATGAGTAAATGAGCAATCAAATGAGCACCCAAAACGAGCAAATGAGAAACCAAATGAGCAAGTAAAATGAGCCAATGAGGAAACAAACGAGCAAATGAGCAACCAAATGAGCAAACGAGCAAGTTAAATGAGCAGGTAAATGAGCAAATGAGCAACCAAAAAGAGCAAATGAGCAAGTAAAATGAGCAAATGAGCAACCAAAATGAGCAAATGAGCAAGTAAAATGAGCAAATGAGCAACCGAATGAGCAAATGAGCAAATGAAATGAGCAGATGAACAACCAAATGAGCAAATGAGCAAGTGCAATGAGCAAATGAGCAACCAAATGAGCAAATTAGCAAACAAAATGAGCAAATGTGCAACCAAATGAGCAAATGAGCAACCAAAATGAGCAAATGAGCAACCAAATGAGCAAATGAGCAACCAAAATGAGCAAATGAGCAACCAAAAGAGCAAATGAGCAACCAAAATGAGCAAAAGAGCAACCAAATGAGCATATGAGCAAGTGAAATGAGCAAATGAGCAACCAAAATGAGCAAAAGAGCAACCAAATGAGCAAATTAGCAAGCAAAATGAGCAAATGAGCGACCAAATGAGCAAATGAGCAAATGTGCAAGTAAAATGAGCAAATGAGCAACCAAATGAGCAAATGAGCAAGTAAAATGAGCAAATGAGCAACTAAATGAGCAAATGAGCAAGTGAAATGAGCAAATGAGCAACCAAATGAGCAAGTGAAATGAGCAAATGAGCAACCAAATGAGCAAAAGAGCAACAAAATGAGCAAATGAGCCAGCAAAATAAGCAAATGAGCAAATAAAATGAGCGACTGAGCAAGCAAAATGAGTTAATGAACACCCAATTGAGCCACTTAGCAAGCAAAACGAGAAAATGAGAAACGAAATAAATTAGTTGGGAGTATAAAAAGGAGAATTGGCATTAATTTTGCCATTTGATCGCTTAAAATAATGGTATTCACATGTCTTTTGTGTTATAAAAAATTCAATAAAAAGTACAATTTAAATAGGCATTCGCATCTCAAACATAAGAACAGTATGTCTGAAAATAATATCAGCGATGGAAATACATCAGATGAGGAACCAAATCGTAAACCTTATCTATATAGAAACATTTTCGATCGGTTGAGACCTAATAGATCCAAATCTCATCATTACGAAGAATACGATGACAGTGAACAAGATAATGACGATGAATCTTTTACTATAGGGAATGACAATGGCAAACAATATGATGATGTTAACAAGAACAAACATATTGACATATGGAAGTATTTTACAGAGCTCACATATGAACAAGGAGATGACGTTTTAAATGAAACAGCCAGTAAAACGCGTAATGAAGACCCTGATATCTCTCTTGAAGAAATAAGAAATAAAGCTTTTGAAAAATTACGCTCCGTGTATCATAAAGCATTCAGAGAAGTTTATTTGGATTTTATTGGAAAAATGTATGCACTTCAGCGCAATCCTACACATAAAAAGATCATGGGAACTGTAAAAAGATTGAGAGAGGAAGATGTTTTCGAAAATGATGAAGCTATACAGTATGCTGTTAAAAAAAGAAAATTTATGTTAGAGCGTGTTATGGACAAGTACCCATTACCAGAACTTGAAGAAACATTTGATGATGATGATGATGATGATGATGATGATAGTGAAAAAGCAACTAGTAGTAATAAATACTGACATTTTATCAATAAATGAACAAATTATTAAAGACATGTGAAAGTTTATATTATTTATTCATATTTTGGAAAGACAAAAGGACAAATGTTAGTGTGGTACATTATGATTGGAACATTTTTTAACATATGCCAAATGCGTTTTATTTTAAATATTTCTTTTTGTAAATGCAGTCTGTAATAAATAAATTAAACTGTATTATTAGATCTTTGTTTTATTTTGTTTATAAATTTATGTATATCCTTTTCTTAAATCGTCCAACTAATCCATGTGGCACCTGGGTGTATATAGTTGAAATGCAAAAAAAGCTATCTGGAGAGAGAAATCTAGTCAAGGGTATGTGAAAACGTGACATAAAAATCTATCACCAAATAGCTGTTTTTGCTCTGATGATATTTTTGAATATTAAGTAAAATCCATATTACCACTTCAAGCATGTCAGGAAAAAAGTTATACTGTGGCAACTATAAGGAAGAACTCGTTTTTAATGGTGGACAAGAAGTGAGTAATTTAGGGACACACCTGTATACAAAGGGCTTACTTAATTATTGACATGAAATTAAAACTTTCAATTATTGTTTCTTTCTGTTATCAAGTCATAAAAAGGACCAATGTTTATCTTGGCGCTGACATCAATTTCACAGATGTTACAAATCTGACGGTTCATTGCTATACAAATTCCAAGGTGATGACATTATCACGTCAGTGTTGAAATGGAAGATTTAATTGGTTTCTTCGTTCTGGCAATTAACAGCAGAAAATGTTTAATCTTTGCTAGATCAAAATATAAAAAATAAGAATGTGAATAAAAAAAAAGTTTCAGTACAATGTATATAATTTTAGGTTGTAATGCCTATCCTCGCTTAAAAGTGGTAAATCAAATCATTTAAAATTTCTCCATTGAATAAATGAATGTTCATAACTGATCCGAAACATCGACACAGAAAGGCGTCCCTTTGTGGATTTATTACCTGGTTGAAATATATGTTACATTTGGGGTCATACTGGTCATACATACTTAAAGGATTGTTTGTTTTATCAGGTAACCACATTGTCTGGTTAAGAGTTTAAACCATAAATATGATAAAAGCAAGATTTACTAGCTGGTAAAGAAAGGTTTATTTTCTAATTAAGGATTATTCATTGACAATTATTGTTTTGTTTTACTCTAATGAGTTCTAAAGATACATGTAGGTGTTGAAACCATTGACAAAACAGGCATCATTATATTATAAGAAAACAATAATTGGGTATGAATTCTAAATAAAAGGTAACTTGTTTTGTATGTATCCCACCTGACTATCAAGTTTTATCAAATTTACTGCTTTAGAAATACACAGTAAATTAATTAGATCAAGCATTGTATGAACCGCAGAGAAAGTACTTGCCTTCAATGAGAGGTTGAATTGCTGGCCTTGGATGTGATGCGTAGTAACTTTAATGAAGAGAATTATAAACAAAACAAGTGGCATAGGTTTGTTTCTTGTCAACATGTGCAAAAATATGACATGTCAATGTTTGGAAAAATGACAAAACAGGCCTCATTATATTATAAGAAAACAATAAATGTAATTTTGCATTTACATGTATAAGATTGACTTTTTTGGAGTGTTACCTGTTCTATTGTTATAAAGTACACACTCTTAAGTCATTATGTAAACAATTGATTAAACTTTACATTTTTCTGATGATAGTAAAATACAATATCAAGAAGAAGAAATACTAGATACTAAAGTAGCTTATTAGATGAGTTGACCACAGCTGGTCTAGACTTATTAATAATATTTTGTCCTCATTTTCTTTTCATAGTTTAAACCAATAATTTGATTATAGTTTTCCTTTGTATATTTTGACCGAATTAGTTAATCCTTTATGGTAACATTTTTCTATTGTGTACTTTAGACCATATTTATGTGACCCCTACAAATATGTTTTGTTTTCTTTTGTTATGGAGAAACAGTGCGCCATTTTTTATTTCAATCTAATAAGGCATCCATTTTATTTTGGCGGGATTAAAACATTTGTGTGCTAAGCTTTCTATTGTTATTCTATTGTTCAAGTGTGCACATGATTACGTCATTATGTAAACAAAGTGGGTGTAAGTCCCCCCCCCATTCATCACATGTCAATACTTCTAATTAATTTATAAAAAGGGGAATTTAAGGTGATTTTTTTTCCCTAGAACATTAGTCAATTTCTCAATTTCTTTCCTTAGACCAAAGTTAACCAGTAATGTGCTCTCTATATGAAGTTCGACTGATGACTGCCCTACTTTAAATATCTCTAATAATGAACAGTTTCAAAATGGAAAGTAGGACAAGTAAATTTCTGAAATTTAGAAGGTCACCGTAAAGGGTTATATTTAAATATAGATATGTAATTTACCTTAGCCTACTAATCTTATCCTTGTTATAATGTCTTCTCCAAATACGTTATACACCGTCATTCTTCATGTATTACACTAATCCAATCAATTTGTCATGAATACTGATTTTGTTAACAATTCAATTCGTGTTAACTTTACTACATTCCCATAATTCCCTGCTATTAATAAACTTCTTGTTTCGTTATCGATAAAGGTAATTTTGCATTGGTGTAGCTGTGTTTATTCCTTAATGGTCTCGGCGCAGCTACCGTGCTTTTATTAGTCCTATGCTTTATTTAAAATAATTCGTTTATAATTAAGCATCAAAAGTTATTTTATCGGATGCAGTATACAATTTCTAATAATAATCATAATAATATTCTTAATATACAGTTGATTTCAAGGTAAAATATTAAGAAATACATACATTATTTACAAATTGGCCTACAATTAAGTAATGTAAATTAACCATCATATATGTACACACATATAAAAAATAAACAACAAATATTTAAATCGACAGACACATGCATTCATCAGATTCATGAATATATATAATATATATTATGTATATCAAGTATTTTTTTCATATTTCTGTTTAAAACATATAGAAAAGATGATACTTTAATATGTAAAGGTATATATTATTCCATACTTGCATAGCTTAATTTTAACCTACTTTGTATAAGATCTTGCATGTATTATTTTTCTTCTTAGTGTATATGTTTCATTTTTCGAGAATACTAGGATATTTAAATATTTGGAAGGTGTCAAGCCTTGTATAGATTGCAAACAGGTACGTATACAGAGTTATAAGGCATTTTGCAGAGGGTCGTTGACTTTTATTTTTTAATAGTCGTTATGAGATTGTCACTTTTTTAAAAACGTTACTTAATATCCATATCTTGCAAGTGTTTCCTGTATACAAGTCAAGACAAGACCCCATGGGAGGTGTCATGCCTAACCCGTCCATGTCCTCTGGATCCGCGTATTTCTTTAGTTTCAAATCGTTTTCTTTTGTTTATATGTATCGTGTGTTTGTTATCAGTTGAAATTGAAATTTAATCAAACTAGATAATTTCAGTGGATATTCAAAACGGGTCCGAACAATTTCTTTCACAGAAATCTCGTCATAAAGTGTGCAGGCGATCAGTTTGAACGGTAAATGCATACGTATTTAGTGATTATAATGTACAACTTTCTCTAGATCATATATGCGTTCTTTTCCACATTAATGGAGGCATGACCTTGCTACTAGATTCCACACGTGAGAGGAATTCATCAAACGTAATGACGTACGCCATCATAAAGTATTTTACAATTATTTTATTTTACATATATTTCATGATTAATCGTAAAGATATTCAAGACTGAAATAATACTACAAGCCATATCCAAGTAAAAAATTGAAATTGAATCACCGAGGTCAGAGCTGTTTTGAACAGCATTAAAATAAATAAAATCGAAGACGAATAATTTAAAACAAAATGCACACAAAACATAGGAACATAATCTTTATTTATGAAAATTGAAAAGGCATATAATTAAACGTCATACGTACCTATAGATTTTCATAATTATATTTTGTACATTTAGCGATTGAATGAGTTTTAAAGAAATATAAACGATAACAATTCGGGTGCCCCTCTGTACGTTTTGTCAGTCACACACGGATATCTAAGTAGAACCACCAATATTTCATAAGCTAGTCGGATGGCTTTCTCCCATGACATAATCCGAAGATGCTTGTGCAGCTTGAACCTACAGCGATGAGAGAAGGTAATTTAAAGTCAACGACCTTCATCACCTGGCCATGGATGCCCCTATCCTATACTTTAAAATGAAAGTAATGAAAATATAATATACTATGCAACAGACAACATTTTACCATAAAAGGATGTGGTCAATTAAAAACAGAAAAAAGAAACAAAATGTATTGAATAAAATTATGCAATTTTACAGCTTCTGTGTAAGTTTGTGTGTGTGCTTGTTTGCTATTTCAATAAGATATACTGTGCAATTGACTTTTGTTGCACCACTACTCTACTATACATTATTGTATCATTCTGATTTGATCTTCTCGTAATGCAAACTCTGTGATAATTAAGTTTGAATCAGAAATTTAAGGAATTTGCTTTACCGCAAATAAGCTTTGGCCTGTTGAAGCCATTAGCAGAAAAAGATTAAAAAAGATGGTCTACACATAAAATATCAATAAAATAAATATATCTTCCTACACAAAAAAGAGGATTTTGAAGACTGCAATGTCCGATACATAGATACTGGACAGCATGGGTAGGTAGAAACAATAATAATAATAACTACAGAGAGGTTATGCCAGGTGACTAACTAGTGGCTAATACTTCCTGACCTATAGCGAATCTGTATATTACACAGACTATTTGTCCGAACCAAAATATGTATACATATTTTCTATTCTGCTCCCCACATTATGCATATAGTTGCCACTCTGTCCGTCCGTCTGTTTTCCTTGTCCGGGACACAACTTTGGAACAACAACAGGTATCAACATGAAACTTTGTAGGTAGATACATTGAGTAGGTGTACAGTAGGTGTACAGTGCACAAGAACCGTAACTCTGCCTTGCCTATTTTTAGCTCACCTGTCACAAAGTGACAGGGTGTGCTTTTGTGATCGCTTTTCGTCCGTCCGTCTGTCGTCCGTCCGTCCGTCCGTAAACTTTTACTTTAATTGACATCTCCTCATAAACCAGTAAGCCAATTTCATCAAAACTTCACAGGAATGTTCCTTTGGTGGTCAACTTTAAAAATTGTTCGAAGAATTTACTTCCATGCAGAACTCTTAGGTTGCAATGGCAACCGGAAGAAATAACTTAAAATATCTTCTTTTAAAAAACCCAAAGAGCTAGAGCTTAGATATTTGGAATGAAACATCTTCTAATGAGTTTCTACCAAGTTTGTTCAAATAAAAGCCCTTGGGTCAAAATTGGCCCCGCCCCAGGGGGTCATTAATTTTCCCTATATGCATATAGTAAAAACTTAAAAAATCTTCTTTTAAAGAACCAAAAGAGCTAGAGCTAAGATATTTAGCATGAAAAATCTTCTAATGAGTGTTTACCAAGTTTGTTCAAATAAAAGCCCTGGGGTCAAAATTGGCCCCGCCCAGGGGGTCATTGATTTTCCCTATATGTATATAGTAAAAACTTAAAAAATCTTCTTTTAAAGAACTCAAAGAGCTAGAGTTAAGATGTTTAGCAAGAAACATGTTCTAATGGGTGTCTACCAAGTTTATTCAAATAAAAGCCCTGGGGTCAAAATTGGCCCCGCCCCGGGGGTCATTGAATTTCCTTATATGTGTATAGCAAAAACTTAAAAAATCTTCTTTGAAAAAACCCAAATAGCTAAAGTTTAGATATTAAGCATGAAACATCTTCTAGCGAGTGTCTACAAAGTTTGTTCAAATAAAAGCCCCGGGGTCAAAATTGGTCCCGCCCTGTGGGTCATTGATTTTCCTTATATGTGTATAGCAAAAACTTAAAAATCTTCCTTGAAAACACCTAAATAGCTAAAGTTTAGATATTAAGCATAAAACATCTTCTAGTAAGTGTCTACAAAGTTTGTTCAAATAAAAGCCCTTGGGTCAAAACTGGCCCCGCCCCAGGAGTGTCATTGTTTTTAACTATATGTGTATAGTAAAAACTTTAAAAATCTTCTTTTAAAAAACCCAATGTGCTAGAGCTTAGATGTTAAGCATGAAACATCTTCTAATGGGTGTCTACTATGCTTGTTCAAATAAAAGCCCTTGGGTTAAAATTGGCTCCGCCCCAGGGGGTCATTGATTTTCCCTATATGCATATAGTAAAATCTTAAAAAATCTTCTTTTAAAGAACTCAAAGAGCTAGAGTTAAGATATTTAGCATGAAACATCTTCTTATGGGTGTCTACCAAGTTTGTTCAAATAAAAGCCCTGGGGTCATAATTGGCCCCGCCCCAGGGGGTCAGTGATTTTCCCTATATGCATATATAGTAAAAACTTAAAAAATCTTCTTTTAAAGAACTCAAAGAGCTAGAGTTAAGATATTTAGCAAGAAACATGTTCTTATGGGTGTCTACCAAGTTTATTCAAATAAAAGCCCTGGGGTCAAAATTGGCCCCGCCCCGGGGGTCATTGAATTTCCTTATATGTGTATAGCAAAAACTTAAAAAATCTTCTTTGAAAAAACCCAAATAGCTCAAGTTTAAATATTAAGCATGAAACATCTTCTAGCGAATGTCTACAAAGTTTGTTCAAATAAAAGCCCTGGGGTCAAAATTGGCCCCGCCTTGGGGGTCATTGATTTTCCTTATATGTGTATAGCAAAAACTTAAAAATCTTCTTTGAAAAAACCCAAATAGCTAGAGTTTAGATATTAAGCATTAAACATCTTCTAGTAAGTGTCTACAAAGTTTGTTCAAATAAAAGCTCCGGGGTCAAAACTGGCCCCGCCCCAGGGATGTCATTGTTTTTAACTGTATGTGTATAGCAAAAACTTAAAAATCTTCTATTAAAAACACAATGATCTAGAGCTTAGATGTTTAGCATGAAACATCTTCTTATGGGTGTCTACCAAGTTTGTTCAAATAAAAGCCCTTGTGTTAAAATGGGCCCGGGGGGGGGCAAGGAGGAGGTCATTGTTTTTCATTATATGTATGTAGTAAAAACTTAACATGATGAAACATCTTCTAATGGGTGTCTTCCAAGTTTTTTCAAATAAAAGCTCAGGGGTTTAAACTGGCCTCGCTCCAGGGCATATAAGGTGAGCGACCTCAGGGCCATCATGGCCCTCTTTTTTAATTATTGACCTTTGTTTATTTTTACACTTTGAACTTTGTCCGGGACATAACTTTAAAACTGTAAGAGGTATCAACATGAAACTTTGTAGGTAGATAGATCTCATTGAGTAGAAGTGCTAAAGAATCATAACTCTGTCTTGCATAATTTTGGAGTTATTGGCCTTTGTTCATTTTGACACTTTGAACTTTGTCCGGGACATTACTCTAAAATTATAAGTGGTATAAACATGAAACTTCGTAGGTAGATAAGTCTCATTGGGTAGAAGTGCAGTGCTAAAGAACCATAAATATGCATTGCCTTATTTTGAAGTTATTGCCCTTTGTTTATTTTTACTTTTTGACTTTTGTACGCGACATAACTCTAAAACTATTAAAGATATCAACATGAAACTTTGGAGGTAGATAGATCTCATTGAATAGAACTTCAATGCTAAAGAACCTAAACACAACCTTGTGTAATTTCGGAGTAATTGCCCTTTGTTCATTTTTACACTTTGAATTTTACCCGAGACATAACTCTGAAACTATAAGAGATATCATCACGAAACTTTATAGATAGATAAATCTTATTGAATAGAAGTGCAGTGCAAGAAAACCATAACTCTGCCTTACGTGATTTTGAAGTTTTTGCACTTTTTTCATTTTTTTATACTCTCGTGTGTCCCAAACCTTCTCGGGGAGCATCACCCGGTTCAATCGGTTCTTGTTTTTTTGGCCGGGGTCCACTGGTGCAAACCCGGGTTATAATATGGTGAATGTCTTTCGGCGGCGGGGAAACATTTTCGTAACAGTTTTCTCAGCAACATCGTATTACAACTTCTTGTTATTTGGTAAACAGCATTTACACCTGGTCTGTTGCTCATCAACTTCCTGTTTACCAACTTAGTTAAATTTTCGGCATCAATGGTCATTGGTAGAACATTTTAGTAACCTACAGCCTCATAATGTTTGGTATACAAATGCATCCCGACCTTTTTCTGTTTTTGAACTTTCTTTTCTGTATGATAAGACAGTTTATGATTTTTTTTTTACCATTTTATAATCTTGTCTTTTTTTTTCTTAGAAAAGTACATTGTCTGAATATACGAAAAGAAGTATTGTTATTGTTTTTGTGACCAGATCAGCTGATAATGTTGCACCTTAACTTAAGTGTTAGTGGACAAAAGATATACAATTTGATCTGTATTATAGCTTTCGAATTCCGAATTTCTAGGTCAAATCTAGTTTGACTGGACAGACCTATAAAAATCAAAAACAGAAAACTTTACCTTTTTCTTTACGATTTGTTTATTTAAATCGTATGTTTACTTTCAGAAAAAGTTAAAAAGTCGAGCGTGGCCCTCGCCCGGCGGTGACTCTTGTTAGTAAGACATTGGCGTCCAATACGGCCACACATTGAATATAAGTTCTTGCCGGACACATTAATGTATATTTAAGAAAAAATGTACTTAAATTTTTTAACAGCAGCAGTTACTTTCATCACGGATCTTAATTTACATTTATTTACAATATAAACCCGTGCTTTTATGAAATAACATGATTGATATCTGGCAAACGTAAAAAGCATTCAAATTTTTAAAAAACGAGTTTTTTTCCGAGATGGTAACCAAAAAGGCATTTAATGATCGAGAGACCATGGTCATTCCGTGTAAATGTAAACTGTTTTACAAGCTTCTTTTTCTTCTAAAATTTCATTAATAAATGACTTAGTTGTGAATAATGCGTCCGAGTCAAGATTTTATATTTAACATTTTTTAAAGCAGGTTATAAGTGCCGTGTGGAAGTTTTAAAGAGTTGCCCCGTACCTTACTTTAGTGTTGTTATATTTTTCTAGTCCTTCAGGATTATTGATTTTAGTACTTTATGTGTTGAAAATTGAATACCCCTCAAGCTGGTGTTACTGGGCGTGAGTTATGTTGCACTTTTTCATCATCTCCCATGTACATATTCAAACTGAGTCTGCAATTTTCATATAATTTTGTTGTGATTAATAGTTCCGAGGCATCACCTTAAACAGTGAAATCATCAATTTGATAATTTAATTGTTTTGAATTTTAGCCCCTTACGTTGTTTCAGTGAAATACCAGCATGCACAGTACTGGGAACCAACTTAATGACATGATGTCGTAAATGACGCCACGTTGTATTATAATTTGGCGCGCTTTTCATTCACTTTTAGGTTTAATGTCCTTTTAAAACGTTTCTTTGCATATAATAAAAAGAAAATGTGTATATATAATTTAGTGTAAGATCGAAATATATTTCACCTTGTGAACACCAAAAGTTCATATTTCACTCGTGGCTGCGCCACTCGTGAAATATACCTTTTGGTGCTCACTCGGTGTAATATATTCTGATCTTACACTGAACTAAACAAATATTCTCTATATATCCAAAACAGTGACTTTATCGCTATGCGAGGAATTATATCACTAGGGCGTAGCTAAGCCCGAGTGATATAATTAATGATTAGCATCCAAACGACAGTGATTTTTTTCAAGCGATTAAATCACCGATTTGGATATATTATTTCGAACAAATTTCAAATGCTGCCGATATCAAGCTGAATTGCCCCTGATTTGTTCCGTACTTATTTTCAGCGTGTTTATGTGACATGTCTAATGGTACTCACATGTCTAAATATAGATCGTCAACAGGATATGTTGCCTGCTTTTTAAATTTGTCTCTCAACATTGAACAAGACATTTTGTCTGTGATATGCTGGCTTCATTACCTCAGATACCCTTTTAAAACTCTATTTTATTTAATTCCACCCGTTTTCTCGTTTAGGACACACGATGGGGACCATACGCTGTTTTCATGATATGACACAACTGTGTCACATTGAAGGTTCTATGATAACGGCCGTATGAATACATCTGCGGATGTTTCTAAATTAAAAATTTCACCATTGTCGTGTTTAAATGTTGCATTTTGCTTTAGCTTGTCTTAGGGTATGTGGAGGGTAACTTGCACTTTCCAGTGGATCAATCAAACCTTTCAATTTTGTCATGTTGGGCTTTCTTTAGGGATTTTGTTTTTCTCTATTTTATTGCATATTCTAACACGATCTGCATTTCTTTCTTATTGAACATACTAGAAGGACCAAAAATGTGTGTTATTATCAAGCAGTGATGCCATTTTATACATGACTTTCAAATAATGTAAACATGCTACTGATCATTCAGCAAATAATTCTTTCTAAATATTGACAAAGATGAAAAGATTTATTTAACAAAAGGTATGTGGACATACTGACAATTTACAATGATTTTATGGTATACATGTATGTACAGAAACACACGGTCAATGTCTTTAAAACCTATACATAATAAACTGAACTACAAAACCAACAGCTAGACAGTATAGCATAATTATATGGTATTGATTGAATATCAGTAATTTAACACGTACATTAAGTATTGACTATTGAGTTATCATCATACATTGAACAGGTAAAGTAAATGTATGTAGAGGCTGACCGTTGTTCAAATGTTATATGTTTGATCATATTACTGTAACTCTTTCTCTACTCATGTCGCATTTTGAATCTATGTGCAACATATCAACAAGGCATACACTATATTTTAAAATGTCAAATATTATAAATTATAATTTTGTCAGGATAGCATGCAGCAAGTAAACAGTTTCTCTTCTTGTCGAACAATAATGATATTGGATTTACTAGACCGGAATCTTTAGTAACTAATTCTCCAAGGCATTTTCCATCGCTGTCAAACATCATGGTGTTGTCTGAGGTTAACCCAGAAATAAACACAGTCCCATCATTGGATACATATACACCACGTGTTTCAGCAAGCCTTTTATCTCTCAGTTCTCTCTTCACCGTACCATCTCTGTTCAGACAGACAGCTCCATCACTAAAATCTGTTACAATAACAATATCTCCGCTGACAGCCATTTGCTGTGCAGCTGATATAAACATCGGTTTGCCACTAACATCATTACTAATAGACTTTAACAATTTACCAGTCTTACTATATATATTTACACTTTTTACAACAGATACCCAAAACTCTCCAGCACAATATGTAATTCCCCAGAAACGTCCACCTGTAACAGATATGTCTCTCACCTTACATAATGAGTTTCCTACTGATATAAACCAAACTTTGTCGTTGTTCAGTTTCACAGCAACCTCAGTATTACCAGTATAGCAGATACCTGTAGGCCATGTTCCTAGATCTAAACAATCTTTAATGTTATAATTCACATCAAGCCTCTTTATCCTCATATTATTGTAATCAGCCAGTATGATTGTACCGTCTGGAAGCTGACATACATCACAAATGTAGGGATGGCTCTTGTCGTTTTTCATGCGGATATTTTCCTCCTTCTGTGAACTTACTTTATACGTTCTTGTTGTCAGTAAACTTTTGCTTTCTGATATTTTTTGTACAGACACTAAAAATTTTGATGAACTGACTGAAGACTTTAATTCTGTATTTTCCTTTAAATTTAATGATTGGCTGCCCTTAGCTTCAATTTGTTTTAACACCTTAACTGCATTATTTAAAGTTTGTTGTGTCAGTTTTGTCTGAACAAATTGTTGTATTTTTTCCAGACTGTCCACGTCTTGTAGCTGACTTCTTACTTGCTCAATTTCTTGTTTAGCTTTACTTAACATAGAAATATTTGTCTCCAGTTCTCCTTTGACCAAAGAATATTCCGCATCAAGGCCTTCCAAAGCTTCACGCTCCAACTTTTGGATATGCTCCATCCAACCGCGCGCAAGTCCCTCTATTTGCGAAATGATGTCATTTCTTTGTTCCTCAATGCTTTTCATGTTTGTTTTCGTTTTTTTATCAGTATTTTCTAAACGGTCTTGGATGTTCATAATGTCAGCCTTTAAACGTTCTGTTTCTCTTTTCTGATCAGTAGAAACTGATAAGTCGTCTAAACCTGACACTCCCCTACAGGACCTGGTAACAAGAAATTTTAACTTCTCAGATAAGGTAATTAAGAACATTTCATTATACCTACTATTTTTATGATCATTCTACTTTACGTATCATCTACATACATTTATAGATATTACAACGTCCAATTATCATGCTTACCACCTTGAAAGATGTTATCGCATAAACAGTTTAGATACCATATAACTTAATAACTTTAATTATCTTATCCTTTTGTAATAATTCAAGATGATTGTGACACTAGCTTTCAAGTTGCTTATTATAAAAAAATACTAATTGACAACACATATATCTTTTCATCCGAAATTTACTGTTTTCGATGCCCGTCTTTTTAATGTCACCCCTATTCCAGATTTCCTTTTACTACAAACTATATCAATGATATTATTACCAAATAATGAACTATAGATTGATTTTAAGACTTGTAAGACTTATTTCAAATCATATTAGTAATTCCTGATAACTGTTGAGATACTTAACAAAGAGAAATCAAATGCAAACCTATGGTATGTAGCAATACACTTTAAACAATAAACCATGTCATGTTCCTCACAGTACATCTCTATGTCACGATCTGGGTGATATAAACATTTTGCTGTCACGATCACACGTGACCCTTGTTTAACCTCGTTCTTGTCTACGAGTTTATGAGAACGACTCATCCTCTGTCTTCCATGGTGTCGTGTGCATCCTGTACACAAAAATTCCTGACATTCAGGACAATATTTCACAGCTTGTTCTCGAATATTACCCTCAAAACAAGGGGTACACACAATGTCAATGTCAGTTAAAGTTGAACGACCGTCTACTTCAGCCATCGTGCCAGCTCAGTCTGTTATAAAATTACATTATATACGTTTCAATAATCATTTGTGTATAAATTTTACGTTATATCATATGCAATTATTATATGAAATTGTAACATATTACTAGTATTGAGGTGTTAATTTTTAAGAAAGAGTATAGATAATTTTATAAATATTAAAAATACGACTTAAATTATGATATGACTGTCCTATTGAACATTACTGATACATGCTGAACTACATTTATGACAATGTCAATGACAATTGTTGCCTTGATTATTGGTATTTTTTTAACATATTTTTGGAACGGCAATTTACCTTGATTTTTAACCTATTAATTGACCATTTAGGATTTGATGGACACAATGTCACTTAAATTTATCATATTTTGTACGGATTATCAGTGACTCAAATTTTATTCTTCTGTGAATGTTCACTTAAGTGTTTACAAAACAACAACAACAACAACAACAACAACAAAAACAACAATCACAAACAAAACAGTATATTTATGTATAGATCTAAACATTGTTGAATATGTTGTAAAGTGGCATTTGGCTCATTTTTTGCTGTCAAGTTTGGTTGATCATATCTTTCAAAATTGGTGCTTATATTATGAAATGATTCAACTTTTGTTCATCTGTGATATTAGATGATATTTTTTTCGGGGAGCAAAGTGTGACACAGGGAATATTGAAACACTCTCTGAAACGTATTGAGTACGTCGCCCGTGACGCAATTTACTTTTTCGAAAATTTGAAAATATTTGTTTGCGACGTTTTGCCCCCACTAATAAGCCTGTTTTCGCTCCACGTCCCCGCCATTTTAACATTTTAACTTTTTAATTCTCGATTTTTCGCTTGGTGGGGTCGCGGGGCGAAATCACGCTAACTGGCTAGGTCGCGGCGCAAAAAGTCGAGATTTAAACTACTAAAACATCGAGAGTGCGGAGCGAAATCACGCTAATTAACGGGTTGGGGGGGGGGGTCGAGCTTTATAAGAATAATTTGGTGGGAGCGCGAACAGCACGCTAATAAACGCCTTATTACAATAAATATTTCTCTTCGCGGTCCCGCCATTTTTTAATTTAATGTCTAGTTTTCGCCCCGTACCCCGTTAATTAGTGTATTTTCGCCCCGCTCCCGCCATTTTGACACGTTAATTCTCGACTTTTCGATTGGCAGGTTCGCGGGGCGAAAACACGAAATGGCACAAATCAGCCACCATACTGTTCTACCTTTTTCTGTTCCTACCAAGAGTGATGCTATGTGCAAAATGAATCTTGATTGATTGATTTGATTGGAATTGAAAAAATATTATAATAAATGCAAGCAAATTGTTGGCTCTTGGCAAAAAAGTCTGTAGAAAATTGTGATTCTGAAAAAATGATGACTGTCCTACTTCAAATATCTTGAAAAGTTTCAAAACAGACAGTGGCACGAGTAAGTTTCTGAAATTAAGAAGTGAAGGGTTACATTTTAAATATAGATATGTAATTTACCTTTTCCTACACTGTCTTAAAAACCTTGTTATAATGTCTCCACCAAATACGTATATACACCGTAATTCTTCATCTATTACATTAATCCAGTCAATTTGTCATGACTTTGATTTTATTAAATAACTTAACAATTTAATACGTGCTAACTTTACTGTACGCCCACTATTCTCCCATAATTCCCTCATATCAATAAATGTCTTGTTTCGTTATCGATATAGATAAAGGTAATTTTTGCATTGGTGTAGCTGTGTTTATTTCTTAATGGTCTCTGCGCAGCTTCCGTGCTATTGTCCAATGCTTTATCTAAAACAGTTCGTTTTTAGTTAAAGTGACATTATGCTCATATTTTCATAGTCAAGTTGAGTTGAACTGACTATATATTTCAAAATATTGACTGTTAAAATGGTGATTGACTAACAATATAGATTGGAGAATAATAAGGATAAAATTTAAATTTGCCTAAAATATAAAAAGACTGCCCCACTCTTTTAATGAACTAAACGATACAGGTAAATTCAAATGGTTATTTACGAACATGTCATTTGGATCCATGTGTTGTTTATTGTTAATGTGAAATAATATTTTATATTAAAATGAATTATGGCAAAATGAAAACTTATTTTGACTTTCACCTGTTCACTCATTTATACCCTTGAATGGGCATAATGACATCAAAGGTTATTTTATCAGATTTAGTATACAACTAGATCTACTAATGATAATAATAATCATATAACTACATGCTTTTCGGCGGTTTATAGAAATATATCAGTGAAATAAAAAACTGAAAATTTACTGTTTTAAACACTGATATTATCAATTTCATAAGCCTGTTACGTTGTTTCCCGATCTTACACTGAACTAAACAAATATCCTCTATATAATCATACTGAACACTTGATTTCAAGAAGGAAACATATTAAGAAATACAATCCTTATTTACAAAATGGCCTTCAATTAAGCAAGGTAAAGAAACTCACATACATTGCATAAAACACATAAAGTCAAAGTGCTGAAGGCACTGCATTTGGGACGTACTTGAAGGGTTAAATATTTATAAAGTGCACAATTCAGTAAATGAACAGTAGTTGACACAGATGTTCAAATATAATATTTAGGTTACATGTACGTGTAGGTCCATCACAAACCGTTATTGGCCCTTTTTGACAAGAGCAGCATGTGAAATAAGAGCTACCAGAGGAAACTGCAAGCTTGACTATTTTAACACATGACATAATAAAGGGAGACATAGCTATGAAAGAATAATCAATTGTGATATAAATATATTAAATTTTCTGTATCAGTATCAAGAAAACACTCAAATAGTCAATATTTTTGCATCACATGTCATTAGAACTTTTGATGGCTTTTGTTCACTGCACTTCTCATGCTAGTCTCTTGCACTGTATGAAGTTTTAATCAAATTCCTTTAATATTTTAATCCTCTCTCTGAACAAATGTCATGAAAAAATATAAACAGAGATAATTCAAGAACTAAGTGATGTCGAATTTTGGTTATTTGACATAGCACTTCTCCTCACTAGTCTCTACAACTGTATTTAGTTTGAGTCAGATATCATTGAAAAGATTTACTCAAGACAACCAATATTTTAAATGTTGATGTATTATAAGAGATGATAATTGTAAAATTAAGCTAGGAAAAATTATGGTTCTTTGAAAATACACTTCCTTTCACTTGAATGTTTTCGCTGTGTAAAATTTTAATCAAATTCCATCAACTCTTTTCCAGTATTTCTCTGGACAAGCATAATTAAGTACATGTATTATAAAGGGAGATAATTAAAAAACTAAGGAATGCAGTTATGGTTCTTTGACACTTTGGCAAATTCGAGTCTGTACAACTGGGTGTAGTTTCAGTGATAGTTTGGAATAAGCATTTTTAACTTAAGGGAGATAATTAAAACATGAAGCAAGGTAGAGTTATGTTTCTTGAACACTGCACTTCCTCTCAAAAGTCTCTATCACTTTGTGAAGTTTACATAAAATCCCTTTAATACGTATCTAGTTATATTCATATTTCAAGGACGGGTGTCTTCCTAAGTTCACAATGTGGTTTTTTTTCTTTAATCATCTAAAATCTCAAAAACACCATAAGAAACATATTTTCCTCAAATGAGCAACCTTTTTCCTCAAAAGTACAAGTCTGTATGGAATGAACTCGAATATTTATCCATAATATTTCTTGAGTCCATACAGACAGATGGTTAAGACCGCAACTGTATTCTCTCCCTTTTGGGAGCATAAATCATAGTAACATGCTAAATATGCGTATAGTTCTATATCAGATACCAGTATGATGAACCTTGCTTTTGTACCTTTTGAGTAATATCAGAATTCAGATTTCATTGACATACAGAAAGGGGTCAGCCTTTAGTCCCCTCTTGGTGAAAACTGTAGGGGACTAATAACAACAATTTATTCTCAGGTTTATTACTTTTCATTAAACCAGGCAAGCTAAGATACATGTTATAACTTATGAAGTATGCTAGCTCTGAATATATTTACACAACATTGCTAAACATAAATTTTGGAATGTGCAGTCATATGTTTCACAATTTAAGTCCAAGGAGCTTCAATTCATGGAAACTTTTGGGGAAATCAGTCAAAATATCACAATTGTACGAAAGACCGGTGGTGACTTCTGACTTCAGAGTTCAGAGTTCGGACTTCAGACTTCAGACTTCAAACATAATGCTTTATACATATAGCATTTAAGGTGTTCTGAACTCCGAAGTCTGAAGTCTGAACTCTGAAATCTGAACTCCGAAGTCTGAACTCCGAAGTCTGAAGTCCGAAATCTGAACTCCGAAGTCTGAACTCTGAACTCCGAAGTCTGAAATCTGAACTCTGAAATCTGAACTCTGAAGTATGAACTCTGAAGTCTGAACTCTGAAGTATGAACTCTGAAGTATGAACTCTGAAGTCTGAACTCTGAAGTCTGAACTCTGAAGTCTGAACTCTGAAGTATGAACTCTGAAGTCTGAACTCTGAAGTCTGAACTCTGAAGTATGAACTCTGAAGTCTGAACTCTGAAGGGATTACATGAATCACGTGATCTGACGTCATACTATTGTCGCGCATTTTTGACGAGTAAACAGCCTTTTTACCTGCACAATTACACACAAGATGATCTGCTTTTGTTTTATTTGAAATGTTAATTATTATTAGCACATTTACTTATTATGAGTAAACTTTTCATTTAATTTTACCTGTTTTAAAAGTTTTTTTTTTCTCTTTTATTTGAGTATTTCTAAGAAAGTACATTTGCAGGATGCACCCTAATTAAAGCAGAACTTGGCCGTTTTACCTGCACAATAACACACAAGGTGACCTGCTCCACCATTGCACAGGTCTTTATAGCTCTTAGGAAATCATGGCTGCCAGGGTAAGGTTCTAGTGCCCTCTCGGGCTTTTATGGGCCTTTTGTTTAACTTGAGAGCAGGCAATATGCCATATGTAATTAAAGTTGTGAAAAATATTTGAATACATGTATTTTCTGAATTCAGATTTTTATTGCAGTTAATTGTTAAAGCCAGAAATTTTAATAAACAAGTTTTAATTGATGCAATTAACATTGTCCTTTTGTCTGTTTTCTAGCTCACCTGCCAAGTAGTAGTAGTAGTAGTGGTAGTAGAAGTACTAGTACTAGTACTAGTAGTACTAGTGGTAGTTGTAGTAGTAGTAGTAGTAGTAGTAGTAGCAGTAGCAGTAGCAGTAGTAGCAGCAGCAGTAGTAGTAGTAGTAGTAGTAGTAGGAGAAGTAGTAGTAGTAGTAGTAGTAGCAGGAACAGTAGTAGCAGTAGTAGTAGTAGTAGCAGTAGTAGTAGTTGTAGTAGTAGCAGTAGAAGTAGTAGTAGTAGCAGTAGTAGTAGTAGTAGCAGTAGTAGGATTAGTAGTAGGAGTAGCAGTAGTAGTAGCAGTAGTAGTAGCAGGAGCAGCAGGAGTAGCAGTAGTAGTAGAAGTAGTAGCAGTACTAGTAGTAGCAGTAGTAGTAGTAGCAGTAGGAGTAGTAGTAGCAGTAGTAGCAGTAGCAGTAGCAGCAGTAGCATTAGTAGTAGCAGTAGCAGTAGCAGTAGTAGTAGTAGTAGTAGTAGTAGTAGTAGTAGTAGTAGTAGTAGTAGTAGTAGTACTCGTAGTAGTAGTTCTTCGTCGTTACAAATAGACCCATTGCTTCTTTAACGTGCTACACTACAGCTGGGTTTCGTACTTTCTATATCTAGATATTAGTGGAAAACACTGAAAAGCTTCTCTGAATTTCCAATACCCTGACCAGGATTCGACTCTGGGACCTCTGGATTTGTAGTCCGGAACACTAAACACTTACCAATGCACCAACACGTAACTGTGATGATGTCTCAGTTGAAGAATAGCGGGGATTTACGTATTCATTGTGTCTGAACGGAGCGCCACACCTTTGTCCGTGTGTCTTGTTCGAGAAGGGACTTAAGTCCGTTGCTTAGCAACTACTCTATATACTGGAAATGCAATTGCTAGAAAAGAACACAGTTTCAGAAGACACATTATTAGTTGGTTTTCCAATAAAAGATAGACAGCTGTTTTTCTTCAAACTTAAAGTACAGAAACAGCCTAGGTTAGGTACACGAATTTTTTGGACACTATAGACGAACTTCAGGTAGAGTTTAAAAATGGATCATCTATGGTCTAAACCTGGGTCAACATAACCGTGCAAATTGCAAAAATGACCATTTTCAGCTTATTGTCACTCAAGCAACTTCATAAATGCATTAATTTTTTATCAACGCTAGTCAGAAAATGTAACTAGATAAAGCCAAGATCGAAAATGAGTCGTGTTAAGTTCGAAGAACTAGGCCAAATTGATTTGATTTGATATTTGTTTAACGCCCGTTTCAACAATTTTCTAGTGATATAAAGGGGTTAAGTTTACCTTTCCATCGTTCCTTGGTGGAAAAAAGCACTAGGCATCAACCTCTCGCACAAAGAAGACTGTAGCAAGGCTCGAACCCGTGACACCTAAATCAGGGGATATCAGTAAATACAAGTCAACCTTAACCACTTGACCACGGAGGCGGTATAAAAACTAGAACTAGGTCAAAGAGACATTGAAAACTACTGTTTGATCCACCTCTTTCATATTTAGTTATACATCATTTTGATCTTATTTCATTTTTGAAAAAAATATTTTGAAAAATTTTGTTTTAG